TTTATTTATTTATTTATTTATTTATTTATTTATTTATTTATTTATTTATTTATTTATTTATTTTTACTCTCTCGAGACAGACGTACGGAATAACAAAAGTGTTATTTAGAGAGGTATATATGTAATGCTACAGTTAATCGATTTCGGGATTTAAACACAAAAACACGTTTTGTGGTCTTCAGTTACCAAGAGAGTTGTTTTTGTTTCAGAATGTCCGTCCATCTGTCCGTCTAGTGTCCTGTTTGTCTGACTGTCTGTGAACAACACTAGTGCCTAAACTATTCACAGAATTTTTGTTAAAGTTAATTTTCCTTTAACGATCTGGCCCGAATCGAGACCCTGCGATTTTGGAAATAATTCTTTAAATTTTGAGGATAATTTAGTTGAAGCCCTGGAGGGCATTTTCAAACATCTCTCCAAAACGGCTACAAAGTTTATCGACCTACATCCACCGTTTCTTTCTTGAAACTCTGAGAGTGAAAATTCTTCCTAGATGAGGTCATCCGTCTGTAAATAAAACATTGTGTGTTTAGGAGTGTGCGTCCGGGTGTCATGTAATACATCTGTATCCTCTTTCGGGTACTTGACATATTTTATGATTTTGAATGTAAGAGTATCAAATGTCAATTTTAAATACCTGAACACTGTCAATTCTTTCTTTGCTGTGTCATATGATTCATAGAATTATTTCTAATATTACTAAATCACTGTCGGCGCCCTGCTGTTCCGGGACTTCACAAGCGAGAAATAAAAACGTGCGTAGATATGACTTAAGTGAAAAAACAGTATTGTGCTGAAACAAAAGTCTTGGTGGCTCAGGGCATTAATTGAGGCCACTGCAGTGCCTCTGACCAGCAGGTCCTAGGTAGCTACATCGAAGTAAGCAGATGACGGGTGAAGAATTCTAGCGGACGGTTGCTCTGATCGATAGCTTTCCGTGGTTTCTCCGATTCACACTAGATGAATAACAGAGCCGTACCATAACAAACGGGCCACAGACCGCATGCGATCTTTCCTTCGTCTTCCTTGTCTTATTCTCAACCCTTACAAAGATATACACTTACGTGCATTATACTACCACATTTTGGGAGCTTAGAGCTTGGTCCATGGTGGGAGATATCTGGTTGGGGAAAACTGCGACGCATAGGTCGGCTCCAGATTTCTCCACTCAGAGGAGGAAGAACACAGCCACCTTCCATTATAAAACATGTACTACACGTTCGAGCCCAATGACCACAGCAGTTGATGAACCCGGAAAAACGTATTATCAATTTAAGGCAAAACCTTCTTCGTCTCCTCATATTTCTTTTCCACGTTATTCTTGTCTTTCTTTTCATTATAATTATTCGTTGTCTCCTCCTCATACTTCTTTTCCTTCTTCTTCTTCTTCTTCTTCTTCTTCTTCTTCTTCTTCTTCTTCTTCTTCTTCCCCATTCGGTGTCCGAGCTAATATTGTGACAAAATAGTTGTAGTGGCACTGCAATTCTTAAGGCATAAACACCAAGCGGGTTACGTAATTGTCAATTGACAAGCGACAGCAATTTGCTATATCCCATCTATTAGTAGATGCTCAATGCTCTTACATTTGAAACCATTACAGCACGGCAGGACTCATACGTGGCCTCAGCCCATTCCGCCAATCGAAAGTCGAAGAATTTTTACTTTCCGTACATATGCACTATGTGATCAAAAGTATTCGGAAACGTGGCTGAAAATGACTTACCAGTTCGTGACGCCCTCCATAGGTAATGCTGGAATTCAATAGGGTGTTGGCCCACCCTTAGCCTTGATGACAGCTTCCACTCTCGTAGGCATACTTTCAATCAGGTGCTAAAAAGGTTTCTTGGGGAATGGCATCCCATTCTTCACGGAGTGCTGCACTGAGGAGAGGCATCGATGTAGGTCGGCGGGACCTGGCATAAATTCGTCGTTCCAAAACATCCGAAAGGTGTTCGATAGGTTTGAAGTCAGGACTCTGTGCAGGCCAGACCATTACAGGGATGTTATTGTCGTATAATCACTCCGCAACAGGCCGTCCAGTATGAACAGGTGCACGATCGTGTTGAAAGATGCAATGGTCATCCCCGAATCCCTCTTCAACAGTGGGAAACAAAAAGGTGTTTAAAACATTAACGTTGGCCTGTGCCGTGATAGTGCCACACAAACCAACAAGGGGTGCAAGCCTCCTCCATGAAAAACACGATCACCCCATTATACCATGTTGGACGTGTCCGGATACTTTTGATCACATAGTGTACGTATATAAGGAGTAATATACGTAGTGTAGAGAAAGCTTTGTAATTCTGCGGAAAATTAATTCCAAGATTTCATCAGAAATGCACATTTTGGGGTCCCCTGAGATTGAAAAGGTGTTTTTTTTTCAAAACGTCCGTCCCCATGGCTGTCTGTCCATCGGGGAACACCTCTAGTGCCTAAACCAGACGTAGCATTTTTTTCCAAATTGAAGAACCCCTGTCCATCTGGCTCGACTCGAGGCGCTTCGATTGTGAAAACCTTTCTTCAAAATTTGGGGGAACTTAACATAAAACCTCACGAACATTTTCAACTTTTCTCAAAAAACGGCTCCAACGGCAGAGAAGGCTCAGGGCGTCAACTGATATCACTGCAGTCCCTCTGACCGGGAAGTCTAAGGTTCAAGTTCCGACAGTGGCAGGGTTTTCGGGGGAAAATTCTAGCGACCTGCTGCTCTGATCGGTAGTTTTCCGTACTTTTACCCATCAACACTAGGTGAATGCCGGAGCAGTACCATAACAAACAGGCCACGGACCGCGCCTGATATTTCCTATCCATTTCTTGCCCTAACCTCCTTCTTTATACACACACTAACACGCACTAACAAGCACACATGTCGGGAGGCCGGTCGGGAGCTTAGAGCTTGTCCCGGCTGGACGGTGCCCCGCTGGTGGGAGATACCTGATTGGGGAAACCCCTGCTAGCGCACGGAAGGTCAGCGCTGGATCTCGCCATACAGCAGGGAGGAAGACCACCTCCGGAACAAAAACACGCACTACACTTACGAGACTAGTGGCCTTGTTCATTAACACACCTGGAATCAGTATCAATCAAAAACAACTCAAATTTTTCTTTAAATTTCTTGTAAAAATAGAGTATAATACACTTATAAAGGCGGCATAGGTCCGATTTTCAGAGTTAATTCTGAATTTTCGAAAAATATAAAATTTTGAATTTTTTCAGGCATTCTCCTACAACTTCAATACTGAAGAAGAAGATTTTTCCTTCAAATAAATTTTTTTCTCCATAGTGAGGTCTTTTATTAAGGTCATGTACATTTTTTGAAAATTTTTGTGGTTTTTGAGCCTGCAATTTGTGCAATTGAAAAAATGATTTTCTCAAAAAGGCTCCAAATCTTTTCTTTAAATTTTCGGAAAGGATCGTGCTAAATGCACTCTATACAATGACATAAACGCCGTATTCTGTATTCTTTTGCTTTTCTCAAACATAACAAAAATGAAATTGTTTGACTTGTCTCTCACGTCGTTTATATTTATATTAGCGTCAATTTGTTCACATTATTATATTTATGAGTACATGTGCTTTACACAATGTCATCTAAAGTATCTCAAAAACTCAGCATTTTTATAGACATGTAATAAACAACACTAAGGCGGGAAAAGAAATTATCATAATCGAATCAGTCGAATTTATTGCGAGATATTGATCGTATAGAATAATGTATTTTTTTATTTTTTAAATTTTTTTTGTTCGTTTATTTTTTAAGACAAGTTGCGTGAGTCACCCGCTTATTTTGGTGTGCAATTATTCACGTTTGAATTGCATAATCTACTGCTTTTCTTCCCCATGAATGTCAGTCTAATAATACGCACCATGCGGCTAAATTATTCTAAAACGAATATGTATACGCAATCCTCCGTTGTGGAGAAGTATGAAGTTGTTCTTAAGTGAAGTAGATATTTAGGCCTACATTCGGCTGCTATGGAGTAGGGGCGCGCCACGCGACCCCAAGAATCGATTGGCCTGAGATGCACGTGACCTGCTCGCCGCTTCCGCCGAGAAATTGGGTGACGGCAGAGCGGTCGGCGTGCACCCTGCGGCCCGTTGTCAGCGCACAAGGTAAAAGACTTCGTGAATTCATGAGGTGATTTCTCTGTAAATTAGGTTACGAGGGTGCAAAAATGATGTTTCGGAGTATGAAGACAATGTCGCATGTTGAATTGCGTTTTGTTCTATGGTCGTGATCATTAGGCAATATTCCTCACACTTTGACAGTCATATTCACATCGCCGTCTCGACATTAGAAATTCCGTGTCATCTTTTGGTACATACATGTACATTCGATTTATTTACTTCATACTTCAATAGTGTGTGGGAATTTTATCAGTTAAAATGATATTTTATTTTGTATTGCTTAAAGCCTTTAGCTTGATTTGTTAAACAATGCTTTCAAAGCATAAAACTTTTTATTTCTTCCGGCATCATTTATATTTTACCTGCCGTTATATTATTATTAATATTATTGTTATTGTTATTATCGGAACATGAAATCCACGAGTGTTTGACAAGGACTGTGTTGTACGTTTCCTGGCACTGTATTTCTGTCTAGAAGTTGCAATTATTTTCTGTCTATTTTTTTAAACATATGCCTACGCACCTATTGAATAGAATATCGTATTTATTTTAGGCATCAATCTATACTTGTTGGCTAAGTAGTCAAATATATCTGTAAATGTCAAGCACGTTTTTAATAAATGCATGTATATTATAGTATATTGTCCTTTTGGATATGAAACTTCGTCAAGGCATCTATACCGAAGTTCTTTTTATTATAAAAATATAATGATAAAAACTATTTATTGTGAAAACATCATCATTACATATTACTTTGATGCCATAAATTAAGAAATGGTGTTATTTATTCTTGATCTTTTATGAAGAAATTGTTATATATTTAAGGTCTTATTTTTTGCCGTTTCAATGGCCTTACAATTTCGTCATAAATATAATGCCACTTTTTCTTCACTACAGAGTGCGGCAAATATAAAATCTCGTAATGTCTACCCTCAGGTTACAATATATTCGTCATGTTATGAAGGAGAAAACTACAAAAGGAAAGCAAGTAATAGCAAAATTATGGATGTAAAGGAACCTACTCGAAGAAGCAGCAGCACTACCGAGCGAAAACGTGAGAGCTTCCAGCATCGCGATGACAGCTTCAAAAGTCTGCAGAACAGCTTCGAAGGGAAGGAGTCGCGGGACGAGTCGCGGGACTCCCGAGGGAGCACGATGGCGCTGGGGTCGCCGAGGATCCCGAGGAAGTTCATCACGAACTGGCGGCAGGCGTGCGACCGCACCCGGGACCGCACCAAGGAGCTGCTGAAGCGCTGGCGGACGCTGCCCGACTCCGAGACCCCGGACACTCCGCACAACGGCCACGGGCCGGTTCACAGCCCCGGCCAAGGCCCAGGGCAGGCCGACAAGGAGCACGGCTGGAGCGTCCACGTGTGGGGTAAGTGCTGAGAGAAATTTTAGCATTGGTCTGGGCCGAAGAAACTTAAAAACGTATCAACTCCTTTGGCTGTGAATTCATAATGCTAAAAAGAAGGGATGGCGAACCAATGAAGGCTTGACACAAGATAAAGACGCTTGCTATATTTTAAGTCCATAATATGGTCTTCGGAGAAAATTCGAACTAGATAAAAATAGTTGTATTTAGCAATCGAATATTCCTACATGCCCGTTACAGTAATTTAATGGGTTAAATATCAAAATTAACATTAAAGTTTTCTGAGTTTGAAGTTATTTTCGTGACTTACTTCTTGCGCACGGACTTACATGCTGGCAACTGAATATTACCTTTACACTCTCAAAAGACCACTGTTTGCCAATGGAGATGTCTAGAAAAACGTTACTACGTTTGGCGGAAAAGTGGTGGGTGGCAACCTCTGCTGTACGCGAAAGAGGTTCCTACAGAATTAGTCAGTTTGTGGCTGTATTAACGCGGTTGTCGAGGCTTGTGTTTCATATCACAGTTTATTTACAATGATATTTGTTTTATTTCGGTTTGTTCAGGTTCTGGCTGCACATCTCTTTCACAAATTTAATTTAAAAAAGTACTATTCTGTCAGACCTAAATCAAGTCACTATCTTTTCATTTTGAAAATCGTTCGAAATAAATATTATGATAATATTAGTGATGATGCTAAGGTGATAATTTGTAATAAAATGGAATGAATAAAACATTTGGATATACATACCCTTTCATTGGATATGGAAAGTGCCAACGAATTTCGGGCAACTGTACCATTTGAGAAGTGACTTCTGTAAATTTTTGTAAACTATCGGCTTTTTAAATATTTATTTTACAAAATTGTATTAGTTATTATTTCCGAAAGGAATATTATCTACAATTAACTTTAATAATCGTTATATATAAATTTATAAATAACTTTAATAAAAAATCTAGAATATAAATACAGTTCCAAAAATATTTGTAATTTTTTACGGAGTGAAGGAACTTTCAACACTAAGTAAACATAAAAAAGTATTTATTTTTCAATATAGTAATTATAAAAAATATATAGTTATTTAAAAATATAAATAAATATACACTTTAAACGTATTTTTTAATGTTTGCATTTCTCTTAGCTGAATTCTGATTTTGATGGTGGAATTTCAGTCTCAAGGCATGTATTTAAAATATTACTTGTGTCATTCCCAATGATTCTAATGTTGGCATTTTTCGTCAAACGTATTTTCAATATCTTTTGTTTGCCGATTTTTAATGACCATTAGATGCCATTTGTTGCGATACAATTGGGACAAATGACTTTATAGCCCTGGTGTCAGAAGTAATCAGCTGATTTGGTGAGCTAAGTAATATTTGGACTTAGCTTCTACACAAATGAAGTCTTGAAGATTCACAAAATGTTAGTGGCTCATACACATGATACTGTGTTTGTTCAATGCGTTCAGGCAATGCATGTACATGACAACGTATTTTTGTGAGAGTTGTTATTTTTAGTGAGTTTTTTATGTTGTAGCAAAAATGTAGAAAATTTACATACATTTACTAGTAAAACTGCTGGGAATGATAGAAAAATGTTTAGATGATAAGTCATTGGAACTGCGAATTATGAAGATGGTGCTACCTGTGTAGGGGCCACTACTGGCTTGAAATAACCATCAAATTTAATACCCTACCCAATTTGATAATGTTTCTCGCTTCAAAACAGAAATCCACTTTCGTCCTTTTTGTTTCAAGGGTACTATAATTTTATTTTCCTTACCTTTCCTGGAAACGATAGGAAATCTTTTAGCATTTTTATGCTTACTCTGTCTCTCCCGCGACCTTTTGCCTCAGTCAACGTTGTCTTTCTAGAGGGCGTTGTCTCAGACCAGTACCGCACACAACTTGGTTACCGTAGATTCGGGTGACTTTGATATCTCCTTGACACTTGACAATAATTCATGTAATTGCGGTATTAAACAACGATCTTTCTATTACATGTTACATTATTTAATACAAAGCAACTGGCATTGCACCTTTCAATCTTTTCAAAGTTATGACCAAAACTTGATGCTGTATTAGACCACAATGTTGAACATTTTATGCAGGACTCTGATTACATATTTTCAGGATAAAAGACTTTTTGACGTTGGTGCTAAGGAAGTAAGAAAGAGGATGAGACTAGCCGTTGAACCAGGAAAAATTATCATTTCTGCCAAAACAGTAAAACATCTGAGACGGATTATGATGTTTCGCAAACTAATGGAGAGTTATCAACTGACGAGCATTCGCATAGCAGTGAGAAAGTCTCAAATGAAGTATGATTTTCAACACCAACTTCACAAGCACAGGTATTCAAGCTTGTGGAAATGTAAATCTTTGACATAGATTTTGAGGACATTTTGTCCGCTTTGCCTCTTGCAGAGAATGAAAATGACGGAAGAATGAATTACAAATTTAATGGTTCTATAGATGTGCAAAGGAATTCTAGTTAAGAGATTACTTACATGAAAGATGTATCTTTCCTAGAAATGTTTATTAAAATTATCACAATATAAAAGTAATTCCGTGTTAAATGCTATTTTAAATGTAGAAGTTCAACCATCCCTATCAAAGTGACCACCTATATTTAATACTAAAAAGAAAACTGTCTCCAATTTCAATGAGGGTTGAAATTGATACTATTATCACATAAACACGCCTTTTGATGATCTTCAATTTAAGGTATCGAAGTCACCCCAAAACAAGGGTTCAACAAAGTCACCTTCAAAACCTAAGATGTAGATTTTTCAAAAACAAATGTAAAAGTTATCAAAGTCACACCATTCTACAGTAAGAAATACATTGCAAGAAAGTGTATCTACACAAAAAAATTAAAACCATTATAGGCAGAGGAAAATCTCCAAAAAAGTATGATCTCAACGTACTAAAGGAATATCCATTACCGTAGAATTCTGTATGTTACTTTACAAGAAAATCTCATTACCCGTGAACTATGATGAAACTTTATTTTAATATAGGCCCTACTCGCAACTGAATGACAAGAGATTCCACTTCTGTAGCATTTAATTTGAAAAGCGCATATAACTGTGTACAGAAACAAAATACCTTTTCATTCTTCTAATAAAACATATTAATATTATTGAACTTAATAAGAATGTGTAAAACGTAAGCATAAATTATTTGGGGAAATGTATCATGAGAACCATGGGACGAGGGCGGGCGGAAGCATTATTGCTTCTGCTAATTGCTTGCGAAACTCTACAATATAATTGTATCAATACGAAGATAACATTCAAAACTTGTGTCAAATTAAACAGTTATCTTTTTTTCTCTCCCTCTCAATCTTAATGAAGAAAACCTTCCTCCAAGAAAACAAGGCTTCAAAACTGACGTGAGTCTTCAGTTATAGCAACGGTAAATAATGAATGAATAAACTCATATATTAAATTACAACTAAATATAAGATTGCCTTTACAAAATTAGCAAGCAAATTTAACTCTGGACTTAATTAATTTTTAGCGCGACTCGAGCGTCAACACGTTTCAAAATTTACGCAAAGCTACAAGGTAGATACCGTATTTGGATTATAAACATTGAATATTGATATATACGAGGAGAGAATGCTTTAAAACCAAAAGAAAGTTTAAATGTGTGCAATAAAAAATAAAAACACTCAGCTAAATATTCTCTACTCCACACTAAAAACAAAATAGGCTGTGGATGTATTAGAGAAACCTGCACTTCTTCATAAACAAGCTTCAGTAGCCGATCCGGTGGCCGAGATCGCTAAGGCAGTAGTGCCATAGCGAACTCGGACCGAAGGATTGCGGGTTCGAGTCCCGCCTCGGGCATGGTTGTATTGTGTATAACTGTCGGCCGCAAGGGAACAGGTTTCTTGATTTACGAGACCAATGTCAGTTATCGTATTTATGTTTAACAATTTTTATTTATAATAACTATTTACTATTTCACTATTAACGTGTATTTATCTTTCGTAGTTTTGCCATTCATTTATTCTTCATTTTCAATTTTTCGTAATTCATTGTTCCACTGTTAATATATAATTAACATGTGCGAGTCGAACATTGATATTAACGTGTTTATTTTTATTTCGTAAGGGATTTGAGTAAAAATGTATGTAATAAGGGCTTTTTTTATATCAACGTTTTTACACAATCTGTTATTGCACAGAAAATTGCACAGAGACTGTATTTAATTATTGTACATAATCAGGAGCATTATGAACTAGTTGAATAAAATAACATTCAGCCAATCGCAGCACGCGAATCGTGGAGGAGGTAAACCGCATGGCCAACGCCATTAAGTTGTTCCCAAAATTGTAATTTGACTTTTTTTATCATCATCATCATCATCATTCTCTTCTAGAAGTGAAAAAGTGGCTATTAGGCCTATTCATTTGAGCATTAATATCTCCACAATAAGTTAAGATATTGTTAGAGCTATAATGAACGAAAAGCGGAGGATGATGATGATGATGATGATGATGATGATGATAATAATAATAATAATAATAATAATAATAATAATAATAATAATAATAATAAAGAATACATGATATCACTTCTGGTAGCAACTACATAAAATTTAACGATATTAGTACATTCTATGTTTAAAACTTGAAATGGTGAGGATGAGGAGGAGGCAGGTTTTGACCAGCTTTTGTTTTTCTTTCTATTTGTACACCTAGACTTACTGCAGCACCTAATGCATCTAGCAAATCCAAAAAGAAACAGAAATTTTTGACAGGCATTATCCTTCTACGTCACAGGACGTGATATGCCTGTTCTTTTTTCTTTGCTTCAGCTTGAAACAGTCAACATGAAACAGAAAGTCAAATGGGATAAGAAATGTTTATTTATTTACATTTTTTTTAAAGGGAAACATTGTTGTGATTTGAATATTCCTTCACATTGTAGAACATGTTGTTGAGCAGGAAAGCTTTCAATTTACTTTTAAATGTATGAATGTTATTTATGTCATTAATACCATTGCCTAGTTTGTTGTAAAGTGTAACACCCTCTATTAGGGTACTCTTTTGATAAAGTGTAGTTTCAGAGTGGGAAAAATGTAGGTTATCCTTTTGACAACTGTTGTAGTTGTGTACATCGGAATTTAGAGTAAAAGTGTCTTTGTTTTCCATGAGAATCGTCTTTGAGACGAGAGATGAGACCAGGAGTAGTATAAGGGGATTTTTTGTTACCTTTAGTGTGCTGGAGGGCAAATATTTGTCTATGGTTTGATAAATATAATTTGATCAATTGGCCTGCAATACCTCAAATCCCTTACATTTCTAGTTTTGTTAAAAGTATGTGATGGTCAAGGCTTTTGATAAATCAAAGAAAAGGTCAATTGGAATTTCCTTCTGATTTAGTGCAACAAGTATGTCATTTAACAAAGAGAAGATGGCTGTCTGTTGATCTATTACTCCTGAAGCCATGTTGTGCATTTGTGAGGACATTATTTGCGATAAGAAACAGTTTGAGTCTATCATTGAAAATCTTACCACAATTTTTGAAAATCCTGAAAACTGGGAAATAGGTTGGTAGTTCATTAGATCATAATTATTGCTCTTTTTATACATTGGTTTAATTTTTGCTATTTTGAATATATCTGGTAATATGCCTGTTTTTAGAGAGTAATTGCAGATATGAGAGAGTGATTGCACTATACATGGAGCACTGTGTTCGATAAGAAAATCTGGAATGTTGTCCTGGCTGGAATGTTGTCCAGGTTGTACATTGTTTTAGGATCCATATTTCTGATCCATACATTAACATTGGCTTAGATGTTATGTTGTGTATTCTTAGTTTTGTCTCTGCTGTCATATCTCTTCAAAAACTTTTCTTGATTATTCCATTCACCCCATTATATTTTTGAATTTTTATTTCTGCCCATTAGTCTTGAACTACTGAAATACACATTCACCTATGATACAAGTGATACTAAACTACATTTGCTAAAGAAATGTCTCCTAAAAGAGGAACAGACTAAAGTACTCAGCAGTAATGCTATCAATGAGAAATGGAACTTGTTTTTGAGCACATTAAATCATCATTTGAATATTGAATGCCCCATTATTAAGAGGCAAGTGAATGTAGTGAAGAAACCCAAAATTAAGCTTCCTAATGAAATTCTTATTCTTAGAAATAAAATGAAAAGCATGTATGACCTGTCCAAGGATACTAAGAACCCCTTTTATAATGAAAAGATTAAAAAGTATAAAAAACAATGTAGACTGAAACTGATGAATGAGAAAGCTTCTCAATTAAATCATAAAGTTAACAACTCAACAAACAAATCCAAAATATTGTAGAATATAATTAACAATGGGAAAACTCAGACTCTCAAAAGCATCCACCCACTACATGAAGGCATGTTTCTTGATAATCCTTCTGATATTTGTAGGACCTTCAACAGCAAATTCTGAAATTCAAAGTACGACACTGTAACTAGTAATACTAGTAATATTTTACCTTCTGGAACTTCAAAATTTATGTTTCTCCGACATACAAATGCTACTGATGTTAATCGACTTATAAATTCCTTCAAAAATAGTTGCTCTTCGGGGAATGATGAAATATCTTCAATAATTCTTAAAAAATCTAAGTTGGCTCTTTTTAATATATTAGTTTACTTAATAAATTCATCTCTATGTGTATTCACTTTTCCAGAATTCCTAAAAATTAGTAATGTAAAACCACTTACTAAGAATAATAATATACAAGATGCTAGGAATTACCGACCTGTAACCCTAACTTCAGTATTTGGCAAACTCTATGAAAAAGTTATATTAGCAAGACTTTATTGTTTTCTTGAATCTAATAATATCCTTAATAAATCACAACATTGCTTCAGAAAGGGCTTCTCCACCACCACTGCTGTTGTGGAATTCACACATGAAATCATTGGAAATTTGGAATCAAATAGGAAAACAGCAGGTGTATTCATTGATCTTTCACAGGCATTTGATACTGTACCTCATGAAAAACTGTTTGCAAAACTAGATTATTATGAAATAAGGGGTGGAGTTAATGACCTCATTAGATCATACCTTACAAGACATAAGCAATGTAATACAGAGATCTTCTGGCAAACTGAAAATTTCTTATCCAAAGTTAAATCAAATTTTGATTCAATTACCACTGGTGTTCTGCAAAGATCTGTGCTTGAACCTTTGATATTTCTAATAATATAAGTTAATGATATTCCAAGTTCATCTGATTTCTTTGTTATTACAGAAGATGCATTAATAAGCAGTGGGCAAATTCTGTGTCATCTAGAAACTAATCTGACTAAATCATTAAAATCAATTGAAAGTTAATTGTCCATAAATAAATTGAAATTAAATGTTGATAAAACTGCATTAATCATTTTAAAGTTTCATCACAGTTACCAACACCAAACATAAAAGCAAAAGAAGACAATTAATCAGTGAATCAAACTGATTGTCATAAAATTTTAGGAATATTCATAGATCAAAACCTAACTTATAACAAAGAAGTTGACACACTTTGTAATAACATAAACTCCAATATGTTGCTCTTGACACACTTTTCTGGATACATAGAAACAGATTTGCTTCTTTCAGTCTATTATGGCATAATCTTCTCAAACTTCAATATGGTATTAAGATATGGGGAGGTACAACACAAAAAAAATGTATAGATTAATGGTTCTACAAAAGAAAAGTTTCAGAAGCATTTTCAAACTGCATCCGAGACAGTTCTGTAAAGATTTCTTTATTAAATGTGAATTACTGACTGTTGTAGCACTCTACTCTTACAAAGTATTACTACTTTCGAGAAATAATCAGAATCAATATCTTGTGAGTAATAAAGAGGTACTACCATACTTGAGGACATAGGGACTATCACAGTATATTCACTAGCAAGTCTTGAACTAATAAAGAAACTTTCTGCACAGATTTTTTATAATCTCCCTGTCACCCCAAAGACAGCTGTTAATGAATAATTTAAAACGTTGCTTAAACGTCATCTTATTAGTGTGTGTTCATGTAAGATATCTGAATTGCTTTAACTTTGCTGTAGTTAAAAACCATGTACTGCTACAAGAGTGATCACTCTTTGTACCAGTCATTCAGTTCAATAAGGCAACGTAGCCTTACAATTTAGTAATGTAGTAATTAATATTATTATATGTCAGGATATTGTAAACACTTACACGTACATTTATTATTGACATCTAATGTATTCAAGTTATTGTAAGTTAATTAAACTATTACTGTAAAATAATGTAAATTATTTGCCATTGTATTATAATTTGCTAGTTTATTAATGAAATGCATTGTTAATATTATCTTTAATTTGGTAATGTGATTTTGTGTAGTTTAAAATATAAATAATATTAATGTTTCTTGTAAGTACTTGCATACTTTATTAATCATGTAATTTATCAAATAAACTATTTGAATGATTTCAGTAAGTACCATATGAAAGTGAATTTAATTCCTGTTATAATTTAAATTACTTTTTTATTTCTATAGTGAAAACTTCAGTAACAAATGAAAATACAAATACCTATGACTCTACATAAAATGTTTCTTGAAAATACATTTTTTTATTTCTAATGAAGAGAATTTTTCATCTATTTATTATGTATGAAATGAATATAGTAGGCGACAAATGTATCGTAATGTATAGATTAAGTTCATAGATTGTGATTTGGCAGCACACTAAAATTTTATTATAACAAATATCTTATTAAAATATATTAAGATTTTGTAGAACATTTTTATTGCTTATGGGTAATTTCATGTAAGCCATTGGAGCCTTTAAACCGCACGTCAGTTATTACAGAATTTTCTCAATACAGCTACATGGGTGCGTAGAGTACCAAGTGAGGAAGATTCAACACAAAATAGTGAATTATGGAAGAACCACCTTTCAACATTGCAGAAGGAGAAATTTGCTTACTTCTTCTCTCATCTCCTGGATTGGGATCGAGATGATGTGATATCAATTCAAGATTTTGATGCAATGAGTGAAGTTAGTTTGTATATTTTTCTGTGAATTAACATGTATTAAAAATTTTATATTTGAAAGATTTTAAATAAAATATTCAATGTATTTTGTAGCGTTTACGTCACTTTGCTGACTGGTCAACAAACTCAGCAGAATTTCATATACTTCATGAAGTTCAATATGGATTCATTGATACATTCATTACCAATCGTATAACAAGTATCAGTTCTGCAGAATCTATGGAAGACTTACCTCCTGGTACCACCAATTTGGAGCAGTGGTTAATGAAATGGAGTGAGCTTGTTAACAAAGCACAAACATTAAGTGATTTTCCCATATGGCTCCAATATTTTGGAAAAATAATTTTTTTGGTCATTAATAAAAGTAGTAAGTATTTTCAAATCAAAACCACATAAAAATATGTAGACACCATGTGCATTATTCAGAAAACCTCTTTATTGTTTTCAGATACAGGAACTATTTCTCGAGATGAATTGAGAGAATTTTATTCCTCGTTCATGGGATTCAGTACTCAAATAGTTGGAGAAATACTGGATCTGGCTTACAATAATATGACAGCTGTAAGTTTTCCATCATAAGTTTTCCATAGTAAGTTTTCCATAATAATACTGATGAACACATGTATTTTATTTCATTAATGTTTCTTTTTCCTTTTCAGAATGGTGATCATCCACTCTGCTACCAAATATTTCACTTGTGTTTTGCCAATTTTCTCTTGGGCAAATATCCTCATGGGCCAGGACAATTTTTATTTGGACCTTGTCAAGTGGGAACATATTCTATTATGTTTCCTATTGATTACAGTGCTTTTAATAGTCCACCAGATGCCTTAGAACAATACAGTCCTCACAAGAAAAGTAACAGACATTCTGTGGTTGTTTGAAGTAGTTTTGAATTAGATAATAAATATTATTCAAAAAGCAGGACTCTATATGTATTTTGTGACCTGAAAACATTTGTTTTGGAGCTTCTTATTGTACAATGTAATTTTGAGAGAGTCCAATCTGTATAAAAATACAATCGATCTAAATATTTGGAAAAATGTGATATGTCTCACACGTTTTAAACAAATATATCTTACACATTTTAAGTAAAAATGTGGGTTTGTTCACTTTCAGACAAAGAACAGTGAAATGTTCTGATTATTAGCAATATATTTATGTGAGTATTACTACAATCATGTGAAAATTTGAAAATGCATATTGTAAGATTGTCAAAAGTTCAAATTTATTGATATTCAGAATGTTTCAGTGAATATTCTGCCAATATTTTGGGATTGATATTAATGTTACCATTGTTGGCAGGGGCAGGAAGCAAGTCCCTCTCCCCCTATATTTTCAATTACATTTAATAGTTTAATTTTAATTTAATTTTTTACTATTAATGTAAACGACACATTAAGTAGACCAAACCTATCCATTAATATGCTTTGATGCAGTAATGATGGCACTGTCAATATGAGCAGAGCTGTAGCTCCCTTCAAAAACAGAATTCATGATCGTAAGAAAAAGTATGGCACAAACAATGGAATAATGTTATTATTTCTCACACATTTCAAGACTTGCTGGACCTTCTCAATCTTACTTAGCAGCCAGACTCATTGCATCCAATGACCAATGCTGGACAATCTTTAGTGCAATCAGCATTACAAAATTGGTACCTAGAATGTGATTCAGGTTAAGCAGACTCAGTACTGTGTCAGCCAATACCATATCATTGTGTGTGTGACCATATTTTCATGTGGAATAGTTTCCCAATTTTACTGACATAAATAAATTTACAAATAACTGCAACATAACTTGACCTTTTTAAATCTATCACATACACCATGGTAACTTCTGTAAAACCCTATGAGTACGGGCTTCAGTAAAACCCTACAGTGAAGCTTTTTGTGGCCAAACTAAAATCCGTGAAGATTTAAATAACATTTAAATAACTTCCTTTTAGATCTCCCCAACTTTTACATGCCAGAGATGGTCGTGGTGTGGATGTACGACTATAAAATATTTTAACATTGCAACTTGTCCATTATGTCTGTGACATTTTACATTCAATGTGCATACTACTGCATCATGAAAGATCATGATTTATAATGTGATATAATAACTGAACAAAAGCAGATGTTTGGATCTTAATGGATTTTATTGGCTCTTGAGTACATGTGTTACCAAAATCAACTCCCCATGCAAGGCATGTAATGGCAATCATTCTCTGATTCCAGATAGACTTAGCTTCCATGCAATAAGTACAGAAACAATAAAATTAATTAGAAGTGAAATTTCAAAAATTTAAAACAAAATTTCTAGACATTTTTGTATCATCTTCCTCATCATCTTTGGTGAACAAAAGAAGATATTCTCTCAGATAGCCTTCCTTCAGAAGTTACTAGAGACAATATATTATGGCAATCATTCTCTGAAACAGTCTGTGTATGAATTATACAGTTTACGTGAGAGTAGGAAATGGAAGTCAACGAACATTTATCACATTAATTTTTATACATTCTAAATTAACATTGTTATTTTCATTGGTACAGTTTCTGTACCCTTCCATTTTCTAAAGCACTGATTCTATCTTTAGAAATATATTGTTCATAGTATTTTTAAATTTATTAGATAGTTTTTTAACTGCACAATAAACAGCACATCAAAAAAATATATTCATTTCATGTGAAAAATAATTTAAATATTTGTATTTTTGAATGAATTTATGAGTGAACAAAAATATAAACTATATAATCAAATATTGGGAACAATAGTGATAAAAGGGATCAAAATAGAACTCTGTATTTGAATTACTTGAATTGGTATTAACAAGGTATGTGTTTTAACAATAGTAGAGAACGCCTAAAAATATTGTAAACTTTTCATGGTGCAACATGTATAAACTTTTAAAAAAGGATTAAACATTTTTCTGTGCTTCAAATATACGTCTGTTTAGATTGTTTTTATCAAAATACTTTCATATATTTTAGGACAGTTAGTTAAGTATTTTGTATTATTAATACGACAAGAATAGAACACATTTCATATCTTTCAATCTTCTTTTAATTTATTTATAATGAAGTAACTTTACAATGTATTAAACAGTTAAACACAGTAAGGTGATATTCATAATACATAGAAGTCATACAGAATGTATTTTATAAACAACTGATTTTGTTTTACATATTGCTGTTTAAGAGTGAATATTTTTAACAGCAACAACATAGTATGTATTCTGCATTAAAAGAACAATAGTTAAAAACATGAAATTAAAACTAATTGATTTAGTTATTCATTTCCACTGCACACTAAACAATGTTATTTGTTTTTTATCTTTAGAGAAGGTTCATCTATTATCACATGTTAGGGGATTCTTCTTTTCTTGTGAAAGGTCCATGTTTAACATAAAACATAGGACACACTTCACAGCATAAAAAGTAAATTATAAAAAAGGTTAATATGTAAATCATATGACATGTTAAATGTCAGTAACATTCAGTATTTTTGTCATTAAACCACCAATATTGCTTTCATTTGAATTCTATGACAAAAATTCAAAGGGAAGTAAATATCAAAATTTCTAGAAACTTTTCTCTTTTCCATTTACATATCATTCCTTATAACTCATTCCTCTTTTCCTTATATTATTCTAATTAACTTTTGTAGTTCTGACTTTCATTCCTACTTTGGTAGTATATCAATGGTGAACAATCAATTCAAATAATATGTACTTATTTCAAATTTAACATAAACAAATATTTTGAAACAATATTATTTAGTAATCATACAAATGGTTGAAAGGGATGATATTATTAAGGAAATTATATGTAAATATTGCTTTTATCCATTTGTATAAGAAAGAATTACAACTATCTGGTACTATCTGAGTTGTATAAGATTGAAAAACTATTTTTAGTGTAATGTTTGACTCCAGATGGACTTAGATTCCATGCAGTCAACAAAAACTAAGTTTAGTATATCAAGTGAAGTCAAAAATTACACTCCATGGCAGTCTATTTTCAATATTATTTTTAAAGAGGTTTTTCATTTCATTTAATATAATATACAAGGCAACAAAAGTTTTTAGCATTATAACTATTGTTCAAACTAAATAATTTATAATTCAATCACTTATTTGAATGTTTGTAAAGCACAATGCTATTGTAATCTCACATTGCAACTAAGTTTATTAACCTGTGAATACATGAACAGAGCATAGATGTGAATGTGTTCTGAACCTGAAAATAAAAAAAAAAAAAAAATTATCTATATTCTATATCTATGTGAAGTGTAACTAGTGTAAATACACTATCCTATCCATCAACTTTAATGAAATTGTTGGTTCACCAATAATATCATTTTGTTATTAAAAATATATGATGAAATGGTCATTAATCCATATAACAAAATTATGAACATTTTACACCACATATAAATTCATAGTAATAAATTTATTAACGGCAGAAACATGTAGAGATGTATGATGTAGTTTCGAATTATATTATCCACTGACTGTTAATTAACAAACCATCAATGTAAAGAATAGGTTTGTAAAAGAAAGTAGTAAACATTCTAAAGAATAGTAATATAATTCCAAGAAATTTTTAAGTTTTGGTTTGCTGAAATGTAGAGAAAAGTAGTTTTGGGAAGATGCTTAAAGAAACTTTCTATTGCTACTATGTAAAACAATTCATTTCATTGTCTGATAGAAATCTTCTTTCAGCTTCCACAAGTCTTGGAGCTTTATTCTCCTCTTGTTTAAGCTGCAGATTACACACACTTTCATACCACTTTGATCATCTATTTGAAATGCATCTTTTCTTCCTTGCATACTACTTACATAGATCTATACAGAAAGTATTATAATATTGCAGTAAAATGTGGCAATTTTTCAATAGATCTCAAATTGTGGGTTCTTGATACCAAAAAAGGGGATAATTCTTGCTTCTATACGTAGTAAATTACTTCCTCTAATAGGGAAGATGCTCCAGAAATCTGACACGGTGGTGTCCATGGAAGCCACTTTCTCCACTGCCGAAGGGGTTAGACTCAAACCTGACCTGGTAATAAAAAGCCGGGTAGGGGTCTACAAAGTCGATGTGACTGTCCACAATGAGGATGGGTCTAGCCTTCTGAAAGCAGGGGAGGAAAAGGTGGTAAAATACCAACCAGTCATTCCCCTGGCAGCCCAACGCCAGAATCCTGCCTGTGGCGATGGGAACCTCTGGGGCTATGCCAAGAGTTACAGTCAGTGTCCTCAAGACCATGGGGATCACGTCTCAAGGCTATCTACTGACTATCTCGTTAATTGCTCTCAGAAGCTCTATTAAACTTAACACACAATTTGTAAATTATGATGAAGCAATTTAGCATTGCTGGTAGTAAATGGAGGAAAGAAACTTCAATGTCCTGTGGGGAAGACTAGGGTCCTAAAATGCTTTGGAATTACCCAGTTACCACGACTCTAAGTGGGAAGTGTATGCTATTTAATGTAGCACACAGAAAATTGTGTAGTCAGAATTCCCATTTTGTGGGTTTTTGATTTTAAAAAATTGGTTTATAGCAAAACGTCTGTCTGTCAATTTAACTGTGGGCACCCCTACCAACTAAACCGTTAATAGAATTTTCTCCAAAATTGATCTAACCGCTGCAAGGTCTTTGAATTCAAAATGGGTATTTTGATTTTGGGGTACTTGATATGGAGCCTTCACAATATATTCAAAATTTTCTCAAAATGGATCCAAATTTTTTCTTTAAATTTGTTCTTAATAAGATCAAAGTATGCTTATAAGAATGGCACAGATTTTAATTTCACTGAATAATCTGTATTTTCAAAAAATTGCAAAAGTTAAAATTCATCCAACACAATATTGAAGTTAGAAAAGTTGAATATAGAATATATGTAGACAAATATTGAATATAGAAGTTTGTATCTTAATGAAATTTGTTCTTAAAGATATTTTAAATCCAATTTCCATTACCTCTGAATAGTGCAAATGTTTTCTTTTTAAAGCATTGGAAACGGCACTTGGACATTTCAGAAGAGGATAAGTGAAGTGCTTGTGAAACATATTTTTGTGGGTTGGAGAAACATTTGTTGGTTCAAGTAGTAATATTATGTACCTATTACAAATAATGTGAGAATACATGCTATACCAGCATCACTAATTCCAATACCTAACAATTGTTAACATTATATGCTCATGCTACATTTATGTGCCATTCTACTTAAAGAGAAATTATAGATTTCTGGTAGTTTTCATCGGTTTTGCAATAAAAGTTTGAGTGAAATTTACAGCTCTTATGAGGGGAACAACATACTTCCAAAACTTGGGCAAGCTGAAAGAAGTTTTTAATTTACCACTTTCCCATTAAAAATTGAATAAATTATATTTTTGTTGTCATGAATGCAAGAAGATTATATCTAATATGTTTTCACTGACATTTGTATAATTAATAAGTGATTCTTCTTCACGTAATAAGCTATGAACTGTGCAAAGTGTTTCAATGAATGACAGCCAGTTCTTAATGATAGAAAATCAATGTATCATGAATTAGATTTTTTCTGATTATGAATAAGTTTTAAATTATTCTTTTGTTTCTCATCACAATAGCTTATAAATTTTAATTATCTTACTTGTTTGATCCAAAAAAACACACATGAATTTGAGTTATGCATCAGAACAGCTAAAAAGAGAGAGCCTTTCACCTGGAATTCTTAATAAAAGAAATACATACTTCCAATAAAAGAAATTTTGACATTTCTGGTATAGTCTCATTGCTTGGGCAAGACTGAAATTGAATGCCCAAAAGAAAATGTATATTCTGATTAATACAGTCATAGAAACTGTGTATGATTAGAAGTTCAGGAAAGCATAAAATCAACTGTGAGATGAGTTTTATACCGAGCTATCATCATGGAATGTGGTACCTCAGCCCAATGTTTTAACAATCACACCCCCAGAAAAGTCAAAGACACCCCCCCCCTATTATATTTTTTTAATTATTTAATTTATTTTTTTTAATTTTAATTTTTTTTATTAATTATTATTATTATTATTATTATTTATTATTATTTTATTAATTATTATTATTATTAATTATATATCTATTATTTATTAATTATTATTATATATTATTATTATTTTAATTATTAATTATTATTATTATTATTATTATCTATTATTATATTATTATTATATATTATTATATTATTATTCTTTATCTAATTGTTATTATATTTTATTATTATTAATATTATTATTATTATTATTATATATTATATTATATTATTATTATAATTATTATTATTATTAATATTATTATTATTATATTTATATATTATTATATTATCTTATTATTATTATTATTATTATTATTATTATTGATTATTATTATTATTATTATTATATTATTATTATTATTATTATTATATTATATATTATTATATATTATTTTTTTATTATTTTATTATTATTATATTATTATTGTATTATTTTTATTATATTAATATATTTTTTATTTATTATTATTTATATATTTATTATTATTATTATTATTATTATATTATTATTATATATTATGGTTATTAAAAATGGTTAATATATCTTGATTGATATTCTATGTCTTCTCATATTTTTTTTCATTGACCTAACCATGGGGGGGGTGGTCTTGACTTATTCTGCGGGGTGTGTATGTTAATAACATTGGGCTGAGGTCCACATTCCATGATATAGCTCGGTATAAACTCATCCACAGTTGATTTATGCTTTCCTGAACTTTAATAATCATACACAGTTTCTATGACTGTATTATGCACGAATATACTGTTCTTTTGGCACTCAATTTCAGATCTGCCCAAGCAATGAGACTTACCAGAAATGTCAAAATTTCCTTTTATTGGATGTATGTATTTCTTTTATTAAGAATATCAGGTGAAAGCTTCTCTCTTTTAGCTGTTCTATGGCATTAACTTCAAATTTCATGTGTGATTTTTTTGGATCAAACAATAAGATAATTAAAATTTAATAAGCTATTGTGATGAGAAAACAAAGAATAATTTAAAACTTTTTATATCAGAAAATCAATTCATGATACATGATTTTGTATCATTAAAACTGCTTCATTCATTGAAACCACTTTGCAAGTTCATAGCTTATTACCTGAAGAAGATCATTTTATACACTTATACAATTCAGTGAAAACAATAATTAGATTAATCTTCTTCTTTGAACAAAATAAATTTATTCAATTTTTAATCGGAAAGTGGTAAATAAAAATTTTTCAGTTGCCAAGTTGAAGTATTGTTCCCTCATAAGAGCTTAATTTACTCAACTTTATTGCAAATCCGATGAAAACTACCGAACTACTAAATTTCTTTAAGTAGAAGGCACATAATGTAGCATGAGCATATTAAATGTTAAAAATTGTTTAGTTTGAATTAGTGGTGTGTATAGCATGTATTTCTCAATTAATTTAGAAATAGGTAATAATATTACTTAACTTGAACCCAATGTTTCTCAACCAACAAAATATGTTTACACCAGCACTTCACTTCATTCTTCTGAATGTCAAGTGCCGTTCCATGCTTAAAAAGAAACATTTGCATTAGAGGTAAATGAAATTGGATTTAAAATATTTTAAACAATTTCATTAAGATAAACAACTTTCTTATATTCTCATTTTGTCTACATATATTCTATATTCAACTTTTCTAATTCAATATTGTTTGGATTGAATTTTAACTTTTGCAATTTTTTTGAAAAATACAGATTATTCAGTGAAATTAAAATCATGTCCATTTTATAAGCATCACTTTGATCTTATTAAGACAAATTTAAAGAAAAAATTTGGACATTTGAGAAAATTTTGAATATATTGTGAAGCTCCATATCAAGTACACAAAAATCAAGTCCCATTTTGGAATTCAAGAGACCTTGCAGGATTAGATCCAATTTTGGGAATTCTATTAAGTTTAGTTGGTAGGGGTGCCACAGTAAATTGACAGACAGAGTTTTGCTATAAACCAATTTTTTAAACAAAAACCCACAAATGGAATTCTGACTACACAATTTCTGTGTGTCTTTAAATAGCATACACTTCACACTTAGAGTCGTGTAAATGGTAATTCCAAAAGACATTTTAGGACCTGTTTCCCCAGGACATTGAACGTTTCTGTCCTCCATTTACTACCAGCAATGCTAAATTGCTTCATCATAATTTACAAATTGTGTGTAAGTTAAAGAGCTTCTGAAGCAATTAACGAGTAGCAGTAGATACCTTGAGACGTGATCCCCTGGTTTCGAGGACATGACCTGTAACTAATTGGCATAGCCCCAAGAGTTCTCATCGCCACAGCGCGATTCTGCGTTGGGCGTGCCAGGGGAATGACGTGTTGGTATTTTACCACTTTTCTCCCTGCCTTTCAAAAGGCTAGACCCATCCTCATTGCGGAACATTACATCGACTTTGATAGACCCTAGGCTTTTATACCAGATCAGGTTTGAGTCTAACCACCTTTCGGCATGAGAAAGTCTTGCTCATGGACACCACTTGTCAGAGATTTCTGGAGGCATCTTCCTATTAGAGGAATAATAGAAACTACGTTAGAAGCAAGAATTATCCCTTTTTTGGTATCCAAGAACCCACAATTTGAGACTAATTAAAATTGCCTATCTATCTCAATATATAATACTTTCTGTATATGATCTATGAAAGTAGTATCAAGGAGAAAAGATGCCATTTCAAATAGATGATCAAGGTATGAAAGACGTGTGTAATCTGCAACTTAACAAGAGGAGAATAAAGCCCAAACTTGTGGGCGTGAAAGAAGATTTCTATAGAGCCAATGATGAATTGTTTTTCATAAGTAGCAATAGAAGTTCTTTAAGCATCCTTCCCAAAACTTTTCTCTACATTTTCAGCAACCAAAACCTTAAATTTTTGATTTATTTATTTCTTAGAAGTTACTGACTTTCTTTTACAAACCATCTTTACATTGATGGTTTGTTAATTAAGTCATGGATAATATAAATCGAAACTACATCATACATCTTACATGTTCTCGCCGTTAATAATTATTTACTGAATTATATGTGGTGTAAATGTTTATATTTTGTTAATGGATTATGACATTTCATCATATATTTTTTAATAACAAAATTATCATATATTGTAGAACCAACAATTTCATTAAAGTGATGATAGTGTATGTGTATTCTACCTATTACACTTCACATAGATATAGAATATAGATAATTTATTTTTTTTTTTATTCAGTTCAGAACACACTTCACATTATGCTCTGTTCTGTATCACAGTAATAAACTTAGTTGCAATGTAGGATTCAATAGCATTGCTGTTTACAAATTCAATAATGATAATTATAAATTATTTAGTTTGAACATAGGTTATAATGCTAAAAAGTTTTGTTGCCTTGTAGTATTATATTAAATGAAATGAAAAACCTTTTAAAAATAATATTGAAATAGCTGCCATGGAGTGGTAATTTTTGACTTCACTTGATATTACTAAACTTAGGTCTGTTACTGCCATGGGAATCTAAGTCAACATCAGGAGTCAACCATTAACTAAAAATAATTTTATCAATCTTATAAACTCAGATAGTACCAGAAGTTGTAATTCTTTCTTATAGCAATGGATAAAAGCAATATTTACATATATATTTCCTGAATAATTATCATCTCATCTTTCAACCATTTGTATGATTACTAATAATATTGTTCAAAATATTTGTTTATGTTTAATTTGAAATAAGTATCATATTATTTAATTGATTGTCACCATGATATACTCAAAATAGAATGAAGTCAAACTACAAAGTTAATTAGAATAATATAATGAAAAGAGGATGATTTAGTTAAAGAATGATATGTAAATGGAAGAGAAAAGTTTCTAAATTTGAATTTACTCCCTTTTGAATTTTTTGTCATAGAATTCAATGAAAGCAATATTGGTGTTTATGAAAAAATACTGATGTTACGACATTTACATGTCATAGATTTAATATTAACACTTTTTTATAATTTCTTTTTAATGCTGTGAAGCTGTGTCTTATGTTTTATTGTTAACACTGAGACCGTTTCACAAGAAAGAAAATCCCTAACATTGAATAATAGATGACCTTCTTAAAGATAAAAACAAATAAATTGTTACGTGGCAGTGGAAATGAATAACTAAACAATTAGTTTAATTTCATGTTTTTAACGTATTGTTCTTTTAATGCAGAATACAGATACTATTTGTTGCTGTTAAAAATATTCACCTTAAACGCAATATGTAAAACACAATCATTGTTTATAAAATACATTCTGTAGATTCTACGTATTAATGAATACACCTTACTGTGTTATAACTGTTTAATACATTGTAACAGTTACGTTCATATATAATATAATTTAAAAGAAGATTGAAAAGATATGAAATGTGTCTATTTTGTCGTATTAATAATACAAATACTTAATAACTTCCTTAAATATATAAAGTATTTTGATAAAAAGCAAATTAAACAGACGTATATTGAGCACAGAAAAATGTTTAATCCTTTTTAAAAGTTTATACTTTGCACCATGAAAAGTTTACAATTTTAGCGTTCTCTACTATGTTAAAACACATACCTGTTATACCAATTCAAGTAATTCAAATACAGAGTTTCTATTTTATCCTTTATCAATATTGGTTCCCAATATTTGTTATATGATTTATATTTTTTGTTCACTCATAATTCATCAAAAATACAAATATTTAAATATTTTTTCACATGAAAATGAATATATTTTATTTTAATAGCTGTTTATTGTGCAGTTAAAAACTAATTAATAAATTAAAATACTATGAACAAAATAATTTCATAAAGATGAATCAATGCTTAGAAAATGGAAGGTACAAGAAACTGACAATGAAATAAAGTTAATTAAATGTTAAGAAATTAATGTGATAAATGTTGTTGATATCATTTCCTACTTCACGTAAACTGTATAATTCATAAACAGACTGTTTCAGAAATGATTGCCATTAAATATATTGTCTCTAGTAACTATTGAAGGGAGCTATCTGAGAAGAATTTTCTTTTGTTCCCAAAATGATGAGGAAGATATACAAAAATGTCTAGAAATTTGTTTTAAATTTTTGAAAATTTCATCCTTACTAATTAATTTTAATTGTTTCCTGTACTTATGCATGGAGCTAAGTCTATCTGGAATCAGAGAGATTGCATATACATGCCTTGCATGGGGAGTTTGATATTTGGTAACACATGTACTCAAGAGCCAAAAAAATCCATTAAGATCAACATCTTGCTTTGTTCAGGTATTATATCCACATTATAATCATGATTTTCATGATGCAAGTAGTTATGCACATGAATGTAAAATGTCAAGACATAATGGAAAGTTGCAATGTTAAAATATTTAATAGTCGTACATACCACACCCGACCATCTCTGGCATAGTAAAGTTGCGGAGATCTAAAGAAGTTCATTTAAATGTTATTTAAATCTTCACGTATTTTTTAGTTTGGCCAAAAAAGCTTCACTGTAGGGTTTTACTGAAGCCCGTACTCATAGTTTTTACAGAAGTTACCATGGTTATGTGATAGATTTAAAAAAGGTCAGTTTATGCTGCAGTTATTTGAATTATTGTATGTCAGTTAAAAATTGGAAACTATTCCACATGGATTAAATATGTCACCACCAATGATATGGTAATGGTGACACGGTACTGAGTCTGTTTAACCGATCACCTTCTATGGTATCAATTTTTGTATTGCTGATGCATAAGAGGATTGGTCAGCATTGTCATTGGATGCAATGAGTCTGGCTGCATAGTAAGATTGAGAAGTCCAGCAAGTCTTGAAATCTGTGATGAGAATAATAACATTATTCATTGTTTTGCATACTTTTTCTTACGATCATGAATTCTGTTTTTGGAAGGGAGCTACAGCTCTGCTTGCATATAACAGTGCCATCATTACTGCATCAAGCATATTAATGGATAGGTTTGGTCTACTAATGTGTCGTTTCTCATTAATAGTTAAAAAATAAATTGAAAATTAAATAGTTAACTGTAATTGAAAATATAGGGGAGAGGACTTTGCTTCTGCCCTGCGCAACATGTTACATTAAATATGAATCCCAAATATTGGCAGAATATTCACTGAAACATCTGATATATATAATTTGAACTTTATGACAATCTTACAATATGCATTTTCAAATTTTCCAACATGATGTAGTAATACTCACATAAATTGATGCTATAATCAGAACATTTTCACTGTTCTTTGTCTGAAAGTGAACAAACCCACATTACTAAAATGTGTAAGATAATTTCGTTTAAAACGTGTGAGACATATCACTTTTTCCAAATATATAGATCGATTGTATTTTTTATACAGATTGGACTCTCTCAAATTAATTGTACAATTAAGAAGCTCCAAACAAATGTTTCAGGTACAAAATATATAGAGTCTGCTTTTTGAATTAATATTTATTATCGAATTCAAATACTACTTCAAACAACACACAGAATGTCTGTACTTTTCTTTGAGGACTGAATTGTTCTAAGGCATCTGGTGGCTATAAAGCACTGTAATCAATAGGAAACATAATAGAATATGTTCCCACTTGACAAGGTCCAAATAAAAATCTTCTGGCCATGAGGATATTGCCTCAGAGAAAATTTGGCAAAACACAAGTGAAATAATTTGGTAGCAGAGTGGATAGATCACCATTCTGAAAGAAAAAAACATTAATGAAATAAAAAATGTGTTCACAGTATTATTATGGAAACTTTACTGAAAACTTAGATGGAAACTTACAGCTGTCATATATGTAAGCCAGATCAGTTTTTCTCCAATTTTGAGTACTGAATCCATGAACGAGGAATAAATTCTCTCATCATCTGAGAAATAGTTCTGTATCTGAAAACATAAAAGAGCGTTTTCTGAATTAAGCAATGGTAGTTACTCATATTTCTAGTTGTGTTTTGATTTGAAAATACTTACTCTTTTATTAATGACCAAAAAAATTATTTTCCAAAATATTGGAAGCCATATGGGAAATACTTAAGTTTGTGCTTTGGTTAAGCACTATTCCATTTCATTAACCATGCTCCAAATGGTGGCTCAGAGGTAAGTCTTCATAGATTTGAGAACTGATACTTGTTATACGATTGGTAATAGAATGTATATCCATGAATCCATAATGAATATCATGAGTATAGAGAATTCTGCTGAGTTGTTTACCATCAGCAAAAGTGAAGTAAACGCTATCAAAATACATTGAATTATTTATTTAAAATCTTTCCAAATATAAAATTTTAATAGCATGTTAATTCCAAAATAATATACAACTAACTTCACTCATTGCATCCAAAATCTTGATTATATCTACATCATCATCGATCCCAATCCAGGAGATGAGAAGGAAGAAAGTAAGCAAATTTCTCTTCTGCAACGTTGAAAAGGTGGTTCTTCATAATTCACTATTTTGGTTGAATCTTCCTCACTTGGTACTCTACGACCCATGTATGCTTGTATTGAGAAAATTCTGTAATAACTGACTGACGTTTAAGCTCCAAGGCTTACATGAATTACCATAAGCCATAAAAATGTTTACAATCTTAAATACTTTTAATAAGAATTTTTATATAAAATTTAGTGTCTGCAACATCCACAATCTATGAACTTAATCTATACAATTACGATCATTGTCCCTACATATTCATTTCTATATAAATAATGATAAAAAAAATCTTTTCTTAAATTAAATAAAATGTATTTCAAAAGAAACATTTATGTAGAGTCTTAGGTATTTGATTTTATTTGTTAACTTGAAGTTTTTCACTATAGGAATAAAAAGTAATTTAAAATGTATAAGGAATTAAATTCACTTTCATATGGTATTACTTGAAATCATTCAGATAGTTTATTTGATAGAATGACATGATTAATATTGTATGCAAGTACTTACAGAACATAATATTATTATATATTTTAACTACACATAAATACATTACAAATTAAAGATAAATTAACAATGCATTTCATTAATAAACTAGCAAATTATAATACAATGCAATAATTACATTATTTTACAGTAAAAAAAAAAAAAAATAATAGTTTAATTAACTTACATAATTGAATAACATTAGATGTCATAATAAATGTCGTGTACAGTGTTTACTAACTACCTGACATATATAATATTATTACGAAATACTAAAATTGTAAGGCTACGTTGATTATTGAACTGAATTGACTGGTACAAAGAGTGATCCCTTGTACAGTACTGGTTTTAACTACAGCAAAGTTAAGCAATCAGATATCTTACATGAACACACACTAATAAGATGACGTTTAAGCACGTTTTAAATTATTCATTAACAGCATTGTCTTTGGGGTGAAGGGAAGATTATAAAAAATCTGTGCAAAAGTTCTTTATAGTAAGACTTGCTAGTGTAATATACTGTGACTAGTCCCTATGTCCTCAAGTATGGTAGTACCTCTTTATACTCACAAAGATATTGATTCTGTTATTTCTCGAAAGTAGTAGATACTTTGTAAGAGTAGAGTGCTACAACACAGTAATTCAGTATTTAATAAAAGAAATCTTTACAGAGACTGTCTCGGATGCAGTAAAATGCTTCTGAAACTTCTTTGTAGAACCATAATCCTATACATTTCTTCTTTAGTGTGTGTACCTCCCATATCTTAATACCATATTGAAGTTGAGAAGATTAATCCATATATAGACTGAAGCAGCAAATCAGTTTCTATGTATCCGAAAGTGTGATCAGACCACATATTGGAGTTATGTTATTACAAAGTGTGTCAACTTCTTTTTTTTTTAAGTTAGGTTTTATCTTGAATATTTCCTATAAAATTTATGACAATCAGTTGATTTACTGATGTAATTGTCTACTTTTGTTTTATGTTTGGTGGTTGTAACGTAGATGGAAACTTTAAAATGATTAATGCAGTTTTATCAACATTTAATTTCAATTTATTTTATGGACAATTAACTTTCAATGATTTAATGATTAGTCAGATTAGTTTTAGATGACACATGATTTGCCCACTGCTTATTAATGCACTTCTGTTAAACAAAGAAATCAGATGAACTTGGAATAATCATAACTTATATTATTAGAAATATCAAGGTTCAAGCACAGATCTCTTGCAGAAACACCAGTGTAAATGAATCAAATTTGATTTAACTTTGGTAAGAATTTTCAGTTTGCCAGAAATCTCTGTATTACATTCTTATGTCTTTGTAGGTATGATCTAATAGAGGTATTAATCACCTATTCATAATACTAGTTTTGCAAACACTTTTTTCATGAGTACAGTATCAATGCTTGAAACGATCAATGAATACACCTGCTGTTTTTCCTATTTGATTCAAATTTCCAATATTTTCATGTTGGTGAATTCACAACAGCAAGTGGTGGTGGAGAAGCCCTTCTGAAGCAATTGTTGTGATATTAATTAAGGGATATTTAATTAGATTCAAGAAAACATAAAGCTTGCTATATAATCTTTTCATAGAGTTGCCAAATACTGAAGTTAGTACAGTCGTAATTCTAGCATCTTGTATATTATTATTCTAGTAAGTGTTCTTTACATACTAATTTTAGAATTCTGGAAATTGAATACACATAGAGATTGAATTTATTAAGTTAAACTAATATATTAAAAGAAGAGCACTTAAGATTTTTTTAAGAATTATTGAGAATCATTTCAATCATTCCCCGAAGAGCACTATTTTTGAGATTATAAGTCGATAACATTAGTAGCATTTGTATGTCGGAGAAACATGAATTTTGAAGTTCCAGGAAGTCAAATATTACTAGTATTACTAGTTAAACAGTGTCTCTTTGAAATTTAGAATTTGCGTTGAAGGTCCTACAATATCAGAAGGATTAGTCAAGAAACATCGCTTCATGTGTGGGTGGATGCTTTTGAGAGTCTGAGTTTTCCATTGTTAATTATATTCTACAATATTTTGGATTAGTGTTGTGATCTGTTAACTTTATATTTATTTGAGAAGCTTTCTCACTCATATCAGTTTCAGTCTACATGTTTTTTATACTTTTTAATCTTTCATTATAAAAAGGGTTTTAGTACTCTTGGACAGGTCATACATCTTTCATTTTTATTCTAAGAATAAGAATTCATTAGGAAGCTTAATTTGGTTTCTCACTACATTCACTTGCTCTACTATTGGGCATTCATATTCAATGATGATTATGTGCTCAAAACAGTTCATTTCTCATGATGAGCATTACTGCTGAGTACTTAGTTGTTCTTTTAGGAGACATTTCTTTAGCAATGTAGTTTAGTATACTTGTATCATAGGTGAGATGTGTTTTCCGGTAGTTCAAAGACTAATGGCGAGAATAACAAATCAAAAATAAATGGGTGATGAATAATCAAGAAAGTTTTTGGAGAGATATGACAAGCAGAGAAAACTAAGATACACACATAACATTAAGCAAGTTTAATGTTGGATCAGAAATATGGATCAGAAAAATGTAACAACCTGCGAAACATTCCAGCGCAGACAACATTCCAGATTTTCTTCAAACACAGTGCCTCCGCATGATAAGTGGCAATAATCTCTCAATCTGCAATTACTCTCTAAAAACAGGCATATTACCAGAGTATATTCAAAATCAGCAAAAATATAAACCAATGTAATAAAAAGCTATTATGATCTAATGAATACTAACCATTCCCAGTTTCAGGATTTTCAAAAATTGTGGTAAATTTTCATGATGACCAAACTGTTTCTTATCGGAAATAATTCCTCAAAATGACAACATTGGCCTGTTCAGGAAGTATAGATCAACGAGACAGCCATCTTCTCTCTTGTTAATGACATACTTGTTGCAGCTAAATCAGAAGGAAATTGCAATTGACCTTTTCTTTTCTATCAAAACCTTGACCATCACTATACTTTAACAAATGTAGAAATGTAAGGGATTTGAGTATTGCAAGGCCAAATTGA